TGGCTATATCTCAAATTTGATCAAATTCTGTTGAAAACTAAAAATTTTATAATTTTTTTTGTCAAACTTTTTCGATTATTTCTATGACAGCTATATGATATAGTCGTCCGATCCGGCCCGTTCCGACATATATACGAGTGAGAGTATATAGAAGACTAACTGCAAAGTTTCATTCAGATAGCTTCAAAACTGAGAGACTAGTTTGCGTAGAAACGGACAGACGGACAGACGGACATGGCTAGATCGACTCGGCTGTTGATCCTGATCAAGAATATATATACTTTATATAGTCGGAGGTGCCTCCTTTACTGCGTTGCAAACTTCTGACTGAAATTATAACACCCTGCAAGGGTATAAAAATAGATAGAGTTAATTAAGAATCAAACGGACTTTTATCTAAGGCTCCTGGTATATTTAGGGATAATCCTATACAACTTTGTGGACCAAAACTCAATCATAAATACGCATTCACCATTGACTTTTGATTGATTTTAATACCTTGGCCCTGATGAATGCCAAATAAATACCAATTTATGCAGCTCCTTGGCCGAAATTGAATTACACGAAATAGGCTTATGTGTGTGTTGGCAAATATATAAAGGAAAATTCAATTTTCTGGCAATTGCTGCAGGTAAGAATGGCCAAGGAAATGAGCGAGATAAGGCTGATCCAATATACTTAAGAGAACAATGTCATAAACCTCTTTTTGTTACTACAATACAGGTGAAAAGGCCAGATGTTCGTTTGCTTATGAATAATGGAAAATTCTTGGCTTTTCTTCTATTTTCCTTTTGAGTTAAAAGCGTTGGATTAGTGCCAGACTGACGTTAATTAACGAAATGAACGTCTCATCACGCTTGTAGTGAGAAACTCATAAATAAGGAAAACTCCACAATGTCCATCTGCTTAGCCAATTTAATTATAAGTCACCTCTTTTTCTTTTAATAACTTTAACCTTTGCAGGGAAAAGTCCTTTCTGTCTGCAGGCATGAATGCATTCAAAGTGGAACTCAAACAGAATTCAGCTGAATGAATCAACTTGGAGTGAAAGGTAAATGCCTGAATAGCTGACTGATTAAATAAGTGCCTAAAACACTCAACAAATATGCCAAGTGCGCTCGAAACCCGTTCGTTTTTACAAAGTAAAATTGTCGCAACTAGTAGTTAAATCATTCAATCGTTTCAAGAAGATCTAGTCTAAGTGGTTCTATAGCTAAAGTTTCAGGGGTATGCCCTTTTTTAACCTAAAAAAAAGATAAATAAAAAATATAGAAAATGGCTTGCCAAATTTTTTGAACACTTTATAGCACTTTGCTTAAAACACTCATACGCAGTGTAGGCCCATTACTTGGGGCAGCTACTTCGTTTACTAACATTTTGGCAAATATTTGAAGCTGTCATTAGCACCCGAGAAAACTTGGCACTAATTTAGCGGTTGTAACCAACATTTTCATAAAATGTAACCGACATTTTCCAAGCAATGAAAGATAAATAAGTTCCCAATTAGCTGACTTCAAACCCATATAGACATCCAACTCTGGCTTTAATGATGGAAGCCACTCAAAGTTCGGCAGGCAATTAATGGCGCTTGCCGAAACTTGTTTGGTTACCTCAGTTTGTCCGTGGCCAAAAATGCATGGCAGTGCCAGCTTCCTGGCGGTCAGATACATCTCGTTTTCACTGGTGAAGAGTCTCTATGTATTTTCTCCTGGCAAGCCCAAGCATAAGTTAAAAACTTTCCAGCAACAGTTTTCTGCCAGGCCATTCATTAGCATGCAAATTTGCAAATTTATCAGCTGTGGTCTCCACTCTTACACTAGGGAAAACTTATACGAGTTTGGGGGAAAGTTTTAAGGAATATCAGCTTAGAGAAATTATTAAACCACATACTAACTTTGGAAATAATAACTATTATTAACCTATATATACTGTTTATATGGAAATATCATTTATTATGACAGATATTTTGTTGCCAGTGCAGTTGGTGTAGGTCCTGGCTTTGGTCGTGTGCTTGGTCCTAGTCCTGTGAGCAGAACTTTACCGCACAATGGGCACTTTTCACAGTGGCCACCGCAGCCTGCTCGCTGGAAGCTCCACCAACTGCATTAGATCGCCTGACAAAGTTTGTCGCACAAATTATTCGCAGATGGAAATCGAGTTGGCGGAACCTTCAGACGTATGTTAACGACATATGGGTCTCTGCTGGATGCAGCAACAGATGCCTCCAGGATCTAAATATTTATCGCCAGGACCTCACAAATATGCAAGAGTGCTCCCAAGTTGAGTGTTACAGTTTAATGGGTTCCCAGAGCTTAAATCAATTGACCTTTTATGCTCAAGGCAATATATTATGATATAAATAATACAAATAATACAATAAAATATACCGAGATTTTTAAAGTAATTATATTAAGTAATAAAAAAAGCAAGACCGTATTTTTCAGATTTAAAATGTAAGCTTTGGTTTAACTTTGGAATTAGGCTTATAAAAAATTCTTGGCCAATTATTTTTGGTGTCTCGGCTCGCTCTAGAAAAATGTCCGAAGACAGATTTTGTGTTCGCTAATGACTAAAAATACCTTTGGGGCAATTTCTGTTTATTTTGTAATTGAATAAAAATACAAGAAAAGTAAACACATTTTAATTAATTTCGTACTCCTGAGGGCTAATCATTATTAAAGACAAACATGAAAAAATGTGGAACGGTATTTGTTTTATAAAATTTTTTTGTCTATAGGACGGAAAGTGTTATCCAATTTAAAAATCCAAATTAAATTAATTTATAACCATTTAAATATTGATATACAATTATAATTGGATGTTTTGGTTTCAAATTATTTTTGTAATGATTTAAATAGTTAAACATTTCCCTTTCCAGCGTTACCATCCCCAAAATTATCAGCTGACACACATACAAATTATCTTTAAATTACATGCCATTTTATTTTGGTGGCAATGATTTGGCCGACTTCTTTTGTTGTATCGCAATTTTCTTATCGTACATTTAATAAGTAGGAGAAAACCTCAAGTGTTAATCGATATAAATGAAAAAAGAAAACAGAATCTTACGTAGGAAACCTAAGTTTGTATACCCTTGCAGTTAGACCACAAAAATCCTCATAACTAAGCCAAAAATCCATTAGTTTTAATTATAAAGCCAGTTCTGTTCTGGTTTTTATAAAGCTAAAAAATCTGCGGATATGGCTAATTAGACTCGGTTGTTTATGCTGATCAAAAATATATATGCTTTATAGGATCGGAAATGACTCTTTCAGTGCTTTGTAAGCTTCTGACTGAAATTATTATACCCTGAAAGGATAGGGTATAAAAATGTATATACGTGTATATCGCAAATATTGACAGTAGTTATTGATTACAAACGTAAACAGAAGCGGCGTCAGATGTTACTGCACTGATTTTTAAGCACTGATAGTGGCCATAAACATTAGTTTTCTAACCATTTTTAAACTTAACTTTGTACTCTGCTTACTCAGTTGATAGTCACAGGGTCGGACTGCTGACCCCTGAATAGATAACTTTGGGAAATACACTTGCCTTCGGTCCGCTACTGTCTTGGTGTTTTGGGTGTTCGCCTCCCATCGGAACCTTTGCTAATATCTGGGTATTAACTAACCACAAATTTAAGCGTACAAGGGCGTTGTCTGTGTATATGTTGGCATTAGAAACTTGAGGGAGACACCCCAGATAAGAGTGGGAAGACTGGTTCGGGTTTCAGTTTTTCAAGAACTGTGCTGCCATCTGCACAACATTATTAGCGGATGGTTTTATCACAGAATCATTAAGTTCCAATAAATAAAGAGAAATACATTATTTGTGTGTGAAATAATATATATATAACAAATAAAAAACAAGTGAATTGAAGTTTAAATAGTGCGTGACATAATTAATGGTTGACCGAAATAGCGGAGTTCAATACGAAAGAATGCCGTCTGTTACTTTCAGGTAAAAGTGATTAGTTTTTGTTGCAGTTATAAATAGATTTAAGATAATTGTAAAACATTAAGCGATACATTAATACATTATATTTGATTAGTCCATTTATTAAAAAGACTAAGTAGAAATATATATAACCCGTTTGCCTAATTTGAATTATTAAATAACTTTTTATATCGTTTTACCTAACACTTAATGATTTTATTCAATACTGAGAATTAGGTTTGTTTATATTAAAATTATGTATGGGTAAAACTATATTCACACCTTAGACATTTCAAATACTTTATGACCATGCCAAAATACCTGTCATAATATCTTGGTTGATATGTTTAACACTTCCATTGTAACTTTCTCTAGTGATGAGTCAGTGCCAAGGTTTTTCCTTATTTCAAATCCATACAATTGGTTAAATACATTAATGACGTCACATACGGTGAATATATTTACAATTAGCGTTCCCTTTGAAATAATTTGGAGAAGCACATACATAGATTGACTCATGTGTGTAAATATTTAAAGCCTCCTCGAGATCGACAAACAGTGTTGACCCAGTAAACAGACCCAAGATCGGCAAAGTCTAGAGCCAAAAAGATAACCGGCAGAGAATCTGAAATATATATATTTATATGGAGAATCAGAGCTGTTTACAGCTCTCTGTATGCGCTATAATTACCAACATTGACAACTTGTTGTGTTGACGCTATCAGAGAGATCGTTTGAAAACTAAATCACACTCAAACGTGAGAGATTGTAATACATAGAATTTATGTACAAACACAATGTGGAAGATGATATGTATAGAGATCTGATACATATTTCTAGCGCCCTGATGAAGTGCAAATAGTCAAATAAATTAAGGCAATAATAAGGCTGCAATAGATTTATTTACACACACGGATCACACTCGTACACCCGTACGGTAAAAATAGCAGGCTAATAACAACGCTAATCAGTTAGTCAAATATCGTCTGGCCGATAGCTCCGACAATTGGAGTAACTGCCTCGAAAACACCTCAGTCTTCCCACTGACACAGACTGTAAGGGCGCGGAGAGTCGCGCTTTTTCGAGATCGCTGATCGATCGGTTCACACATAGTTTTCTCCGATCCAATTAATACTGCGTAGCGGCTCGGTCATGTCTCTAATCAACCTAAAATCCAGCGATATGTACGACGAACCGATAAATCTGTGGAAGACCAAGCAGCGAGTTCACTATCACCACGATGTGGTCAAAGGAAAAAAGTGTGTGTTTGGTTTTAAATTCTCAACTGCAGTGGCTCACATACACGGATATAGATATATTTTGTAGATATCTTGTGGACGGAATGATATCAGTGTGAAATAAATAAAATCTAAAGGGAATTTTGATTATATTTGATAAAGAAATGTATATAAACGACAAATAAGTTGTTGCTTAAATAAGAGATTGCTTTCAATTGTGGCTGCAGTCTTAGCTAAACTCATAGTTTTCCTAATTGAAGAGCCTTTAGTCTCAGGATACTATATTTTTCAACTTGATCTTTTTTTCTTTTAATAAATAATTTGTTAATATTTTCCATTAAGTATTAAGTACTTAAGACTTCTATTGTCATCAAAGAATGGTAATTTTTTTGTTTTCTCTTCCATTATTTTCAACATATTATAAAGTATTTTATCTAATCGAATAAGGTTCATCAACTCTATATAGTTGTCAGTGTTTTGGCATTTACTTTGGTTGTGAAAGCTCTAGCTCTAATTGCAGACACTGATTGCGCGGAACAAAAGAAAAACGTGATCACTTAATGTTTATACAAACAGTAAAAACTTATCTAACTCTTGATTGATGAGACATCTGGCCGAAATGATAAGACCACTTATATACAAATTAGAGGCATTTCCCAAAGAAACACGCGCAGTTTTCTTATCCTCGCCCAGCGATAATATCTCAATTTGCGGTCAGGAATCGATCAAAAAGCAATCAAAGCTGCAAAATATATCAAAAAGCAAGGTTGCCTTCACAGGTTGACCAGAAGTAAAGGTCTCGAAATTGGAATCAGTCGATCGGAACTCATTGAACTCGTCGCAGGCTGTCGCGATTATTTTCCAGTGTATGTGCGCCACTTGCAGGAAGGACTGAGTCCTTGAGCCATCTCTAATTCAGATTTGATCCTTCGATAGTAATCAAACATCCTCCGATGGCTGTGATTATATAACCATTAGTGTGCCAAAGAAGTCGGCTTCGTTCTCCAGATCGCCCCCCAATTCGTTGCCCCCCTCGGTTCCGGGAACTCCTCCACACTCTGTGGCAGCCACCTCGAATCAGGTGATCCGTTACGCCAGAACATCGTGTGACCATTGTGGCCATCATAGCATTCCGGTCATGTCGCCGCATCCCATCTCACCGCTGGCCAAGTCCCAGACCAATCTGGATCTCGTGGAGCATGCCAGTCAGAGGCAGGCCCTCCTACCAATGCCCACAATAGGGATACATCGTGATGACTCTGCCTGCACCCTGCAGGTGTCCCGGAGGCCATCGCTGCTCCTTCAGGAGATACTCACACAGCGACCGCCGCTTTTTGGAAAAAAAGATGGCAATGGATTCCTGTCGCCCAGGAGTGCCAGAAATGGGTACTAGTCATTACATAAATTTAAAGATTTTTAATCTAGCTTAACTTAGATTTTATAATGTATTTTCTTTAAATAAATAATTGAATTCTTATATTTCCAGAAACCTGCAAGGAACAGCCAGCGGCAGTACAGCCACAATTAATTTACAAAGCGGCACAACAAGTGCCAGGAATGGATCCACAGCCTTTTTTGATAATGGAGCCAAGAGCTATCAGGCCAAGCAGCAAAAGGAAAAGAACCGGCGGACGGGCAAGTAAGTGTTACCAAATAACTTTTGTTATTTATAAGATATTTAATATATATTTATTAATTTTCTTTTATTTTTCCAGTGATGCCATAAGTTCTGCCTTGTCGGCCACTTACTGCAAGCTATTGGTATTGCTTGGTGTTTGTCTGCCCATCACAGAGGTGATATCCGATCAGATACCAACCTATGTGTACCAAGGATTCTATGTCTATCTCTACGTAGGCAGCATACTCTTTGTGATATTTCTGTACATCAGTGCTTTTCGCAATCGATCGCTATTCAATGCGCTCAAAGACTTTCGTGAGTTTATTTTAACTTTTTATATAGACATTTGAATCCAAATTAAATATTTCCTTTTAGATGAAAAGAACAGCAATGTCCATCTTAAGCACAAAGTCACACATTTCGGCAGCTTTTACCTGAGAGTCGGAGCCATTGCCTTCGCTATTGGCACTATGGTATATTCTGGCCTGGAGTTTGGCCAGTTCTTCGAGTTGAATGGTCATCCTGGCTGCCGTGATGTCTTTGTGGCCATTACACCCATTTGCAGGATGATCCTGTGCATCGCCCAGGTTCAGTTCATCTTCCTGAACACGACCTACATGGACATGGCTCGCCACAAGGTGACCTCGAGATTCGGACTCATGCATATGGTGGCCACCAATCTTTGCGAGTGGCTTTATGTCCTTGTTGAGGAGACCAAACACGAGATATTCCACATCGGTCAACACGAAGTGGATCCTGCCCACGACCTGGTTATCCACAACAACACCATCAGTCGCCCGGACTGGACAGCGGTCAATGAGTCCCTGCATCAGCATCATCTTCACAACTCGCATCTGACGGTTACGGATCCGCTGAACAGGACAGTGCTGGCCAACGTGAGCACTATTATTGCGAACATGACTGTGACACCTTCGCCCACGACGGCTCCCTTCAGTGGCTGTTCTCGAACTACCATTATGGGTGCTCTGGTCCAGCAGCTATCACCCTTTCTGTTCCCCTGCACCATTGAGTACTCCCTGATCTGTGCTGTAATTCTCTACGAAATGTGGAAGACTGTCAAGTCTATTCCGGATATCGACAAGACCAGGAAGAACTCTGTGAAACCTGTGACCCAGAAACCAGCTCACCACTTCTCCGTGGACTGCTCGCAATCGCACAAGGGTCTTTTCTTTGGCATTCTGATCATAGTGATGACCATTATCTCCATGATCATGTACTTTGTGCTGTACACGCAGCCAGGATACGAACTGGTGGCCACTCAGGAGGTTACTCTGTGGGAGACCTTCATGTACTTCATGTGCGCTGCGGCTGTGATAACGGGTAAGATTGGGTTTAATTTATTTTAAATTGTATTAAATATTCTAAATACCTTTTCTTTCTAGGCATGATCCTGATGCGTGATCTGCGCTATATTAAGGACACCAGCGATGAGCACCACTCGATGGATCTGGACAATCTTCTCCTGATTGTGGCTCAGACCGGCGTGTATCTGTATGGAATGTTTAGCATCCTGGGCAGTTACTTTGCCAAATGGGACACAGTGCCGGATCGCGTCGAGGGAATTATAGCAGAGGTGTTTGGTGTGGTCCAGACTTCACTGCAGACCATGTTCATCCTTCATGCCAGTCACCGGCGATGCAAAGGTGCCAAGCAGGTGCGAAGGAAGCCGGGCAGGGAGATCATCACATTCCTCCTGGTGGCCAACATTGCCATTTGGTTTGTGAATACGCTGATCAAGGGACGAGCAGTGTTCCGTGAGACTCACCTGGAGTTCTTCGGAGTCTGGGGCTGGACCATCATTACTCACATCTCCATGCCGCTGGCCATCTTCTATCGATTCCACTCCACGATTTGCCTGTTTGAAGTCTGGAAAATCACATACAAGGCCAAGGCGCATTAGGACTTGAATAATTCCCTTGATAAGTTGTCAATTCCTGTCTTGTTTAAGTTAATTTAAATTCCGAACAATGTAGTTTTGTGCATTAGTTAATTTATTTTTAAGAACGAAAACCAGTCGACATTGTTAGCAAACAAATAAATCATTAATTTATTTAGCAAAAAAAATGATTTTACTTTAAACATTATATTACTTTGGGAATGAAATGGAGTTCATGTAATATTATATTTGCAAAATATATTTTATTTAGGAACTCCTTATAACAATTAATTAATATTTGACTATATGACAGATGAAAACTATAACAAATAGACCGAGAAATACAATTATTTATCACTGTGACATACATTACGTGACGCTTGTTGTGTACTTTCTTGTTAGCAGTTGAGGTGCCAAAAGATTGCACACTTATTTTGATTACATAACTTCACTTGACACTTTGAAATAATAATAGTTAGTAATCCCCGAAACGTGTTATTCACGTGGTCAATTGGCAATTTCAGTTAAGCCCATTTAAAGCGGGTAGTCGGTTTTTTTCTAAGGAAAAGGTAGATATCAATCAAGAAAAGATTGTATTATTTTACAGCAACTTAAGGGTATGAACAGTACTATTTCTGGCATAAAAATTCAACTGAGACCTTCAGGAAACATGGTTTTTGCTTACAAATTGCCTCGATCTATAAACACCCCATAAGAAATTGCTTGGCGCAAAAGCAAAATCAGGTATTCGTGTATCAAATGTATCGGGGCTGACATAAATCTTTTGGCAGAAAAGCTGAGGCAGACAATTGACAAATCGGCGTTTCCGTTTCCTGTTGCGTGTTGCTCCACCAAGAAAAATGTCAAAATGGGGCGGGGATTGACATTGAACAGATGCAAAAGGGAAGCCAACTGTCTCATGGGCATAAATTTGATATGCCTGAAATCCGGGAGTCCATATATGGAAGTGTTGTGTGCAAAGGATTTCGAACCGAAACATCAAGAAAGGTAAATAAAAAGGCATTGAGCCATGAAGTTGATGAATTGGCGCATTTAAATTATGTATTTATGGGGAAATCAGAAGATGAGAGGCAATTGTTATTCAGGTGGCACACACAGCGATAATAAACGGGCAATTTGGGGTTAACAAATCGAGTGATGTATGGCTTTATGGCATCCTTTCGATGAGCACGTGATGGGAATGTGTAATAAAGCAATAGTCAAACAATCAATTTATACAGTAAACTTTATGCTATTGATACTCAGGTATGAACTTTTACTCCTTAATTAAATAATTGAGAAAAAAAGGATTGTAATATAATACATACATAAATGCATTTTAAATTAAATTCCACTCACGTCTGTGTATATTTAACTCTATCCGAAATCCAGAGCTTTAAACGTGACTTTTGAGTATTTACTTGTAAGATGTGTAACTATGGGTAAATAACAATAACAACAAGTAAATATATAAAACAGGTTTGTATATACTCGACGCTGATTTATAAAAATACAAGATCTCTTCACTCAGGCCTTAAATATACTTTAATAAAAAACCCATTGAAATCTTAAGGCATTTCAAATAACCATCATAATTAGTAGGGAAGCGCCACTTTCCACGGAAATGTGCTAATTGCAGGTAGAACCGTTAAAAAAGAGGCAACCAACACCGAAATGAGGACACTAATTAGAGCTCTGGATAGCGAATTTAAGCCGTTATCCATTACTCTTTAATCCATAATGTAAACAATTTCGAAACAAGTTCAAGTTCAAGACGATGACAAGATTTCATTTCAATGGACTTCCAAGCGGACTTTTTCAGCGATTGTCAATATTAATAAATCAGCTGGGAAAAATTGCAGGCGATGGAATTTTTTATGATGCCATCATCAACGTGCCCGGCAACTATGCCAGATGTCAACTGCCTCCGCTGTGGCCCGGGAAAATTGAATCAGAATTCTCGCGCTAGCTGAGAGGATGTTGTAAATGGAAATGACACGGAAGCGCTCAGGACAATGACGGACGTCGACGATGACGATGACGAGTTTTAGAGCTGATGGCCATGTTTGGTCCCAACCTCCCGGAAATGACATCGCAATGGAGGTGACCCGCTGCGGGGAGTTCGCAGCGGAAACGGAAATTTAAAGGCAAGGCAAACGGCCAAAAGAAATGGCCAAACAATCGGTGAATGCTAATCAAGATGGGAAGTCAGCAAAGAACTGCGAAGCCACTCTGGAATGGCAGGGAAACAATGGCATTAAACAAATGTACTATTTTATATTTTGCAGTTTTTAGAGCTATTGCTTTACCTGTAAACTCAGTCAAATTTCATCGATCTAATTTTGGACAGACACAATCTAAATTCAGACAGTGCAAACTTTAATTCATCTTGAGCAATCAATGAAAAGTTTATTCTGCCTTCTCAGCATCTCTCAACTTCCGAAACTTTATGCACACTTGCTGGGAAGTGAAAGCAAGCAAACCAAGTTTCTAGTGGAAGAAGCGTTTTTATTTGTTCCATTTAAAAATGAATTTCCAGTTTTCCAAGTTATTTTAAGCCAAGGGTTTGGCTGGATACGTTACGAACTTTCGAGCCAGATATTGTTCTGATGAGTTGCACTCCAACTGAGCAAAAGTTTTCCATATACGGAGTTAAAATTGATCTAAATTGATAGATGCCAATAGAGTTGAAGCTTAGAGCTGAAAGTGAAGCTATGCATCTGAACATTGTGTAAAGTAAATTTCACTTGAAAAGTAAATAGAAATAAAACCATTTGCTCTCCATTAAACGTAGCCCTAGAGGGACTAGCATCACGTAGATCGAAAGCATTTTTCCCGTCTTGAGGACAGAAACTGAAACAAAACGTGTTCCTGGTGGCAAATCCTTTGTGGCTTCCCCCTGTCCTTGTGCAACACTCAGCTTCTTTGGCACCCCAAACACGTAAGGCACGCACATGGATGGCTAAAGACATTAGAACGACACAATTAACCTTTTTAAAGAAGGATGTCAACAGTTGCTGACGGGTTGTGTGTGGTTTTTGGGTTATGGGTTATGGTTAAGAGCTTAAAGGCACAACAATTGATGCCACTCAAGCGTTTGTTTAAAAAATCTAAAATGGCAACAAAAGAAGACACGATTGTTGGGAAAATTAAGAACAATAAAGTTGAATTTTAACAAAGATAACTTTAAACTTTATATTAACATCTGTACCCATTTATGGATGTTCTTAATATTTATTATTTAACTGAATTTAATGTCTTTATTTAGCTCTCTCCTTCCCCTAGTTTTTCTCACCTTTCATGGAATTTCCCTGAAGGTAAATTAAAATGTATACTTCACCTGGAAAATGTATACAACTTTTGTATATATAGGTATATATTTTTTTGTGGGGAAACGCAGTTACGCAAATATGGTAAAATTTTTAATAAGACACCGAGGAAAGCTTGAGGCACTTTCAATTTGTTTTGAACGACAGAAACTGGAAACTCCCTTCCGTTCGAGCCACAAGGCACAGGGCACATGGGAGAATTTTCCACTTGCATTCTTGAGGGCAAAGTAATATTTTGAGTTGAGTGGAAAATTAAACACAAGCTTACCATGGCGACAAAAAGACTAAAATATCATATTGCAGCTTGACTGTAATAAGATTACGTACTGAGATTGAAATCCGCGAGCAACTCCAATTTTGCAATCGGCTTAAAAGTTGTCAGTGAAACTTTTGGGTTTTTCACGGATTTATCCCGAGAGTTCTGGTATATACACATATATTTGCTACCCACAAAAACTATGACGAGAAATGCAATCATTAAAGTTTAATGAACTGTGCAAAGTGCTCCCCTAATTGGATATAAAAATGGCCCCGACTTCTGTTTTCTTTTTCCTATGAATGCAGTTGAAATTGACTGTGGTGCGCATTGAACTGCAATATAAAATTTAGTGGCAATATCCAGTTATGGTATTTCTTTTTTATGTCCATATTTTATGGCCAGGCCACCATCAGTCGCGGTCTCAGGGCACTTGGCAAAAATATTCAATTGCGATGGAAGGAATGCGCAAAACTGTCAATCATTGTCAGTTTCCTATTTTATTTTTCGCCCCGTATCACATGGCGTATGAATGATTTGCAGAGTAGGTGAGTAGATATGAATAATGAAATGAAAGCAAGTGTTGCAAATGACATTCCAGTCAACTTTTAGTGTGCTAAAGTCAGTCTGTTTTAGAAGTAAAAAAAAGGGAAAAACCACAGAGAATAAATAATGAAGAGGGATCCTTAGGACACACAGAAAAGCTCACTCGTATATCAAATTTATGGGTCGCAAAATAACTTTATCCGCCGAAGCGTAAACGTGTGAAAAATCGGCAACAACGAAAACAAATCAAATCGAGGCCCAAGTACAGGGCATTACAAAAGCCAAACCAAAATAATTCATTTTCCTGGCCCAGTGTTTTCTGTATTTTGTTTGCCGAGGTGCACGCAAGATAAATGTGGCGCGGCAAATAATAAAATATTTATACAAAATCCACCAATCTCGGATTTGCCCGAATGAAAGAGAGAGAGACGTAAATAAACGTTTTAGTTTTGGGCTTACGTTGGGGCTTTTTCTGGCTCCTGTTCCAAACAATTGACTGATGGACATTTGATGAAAGGATCACATCACGTATACGCCCTGGGGACGTGCCAAAATTGAAACTTTCGTTAGAACCGTTGGAGGGTCAACAAATGTGACACTTTCAAAGATTTATTCTGTGAATGGCCATTAGATTTCACTCAGCTGTTCGTAAAATATTTCTTTTGTTTGCTCTCCACTCTCAGTAAACAAATGTAAGCTAAATACGTGATTTATTTATATTTGAAAACAGGGTAAGTGTGGTTGTTTTAATCCTTGAAACTACTTTTATCGAAAGCGAACTTCGTGAGTTTTATTGCTAGTGTAGAATACAATAAGCTATCCAATGATTTTCCTGAGTTGATAGCTGAAGAGTCTTTTACAGGATACTTTCGCTTTTGGGGCTTCGGGAACTTTATGTTTTTATGAGGAATCCTTTAAATGGTAGTCAGAAGTAGCAAGCCAATTGTTCTTGTCCTTGTGCCTGTTGCCTCAGCAACTGACGAAGAGATGCAATACATGGAGTGACTCCTAAA